GGGGGGGTGGGGGGGTGTTGCTCCGCAGCCCATCATCCCATGTGGGAATCGAACCGGCAACCTTGTTGTTAAGAGCACGTGCTTTAACCAACTAAGCCATCCGGCAGCCCATCGGCAGCTCAGCTCAAGTCGTTGTCTTCCATCTATTTTCAGAGGGCGCAGCTCACTGGCCCATGTGGGAATCGAACCGGCAACCTTGTTGTTCAGAGCACGCGCTCTAACCAACTGAGCCACCTGGTCACCCCTTGGAAATTATTCTTGCCATACAGATCTAATTTTATTTATTTTTTCCAAATACCTATATAGTTGTTAATAATACTGTTTTTTTGTTGTTGTTTACTAATGTCCTATTTTTGTTGTTTAAAGTTTATTGGGGTGACGTTAGCAAAGTTACATAGATTTAAGGTGTACAATATAATACTATTAATAAGACCACATTTTGCCCCAGGATTTCTAAATATGACCTTTATCATATCTAAGATTTCTATATATAGTTGGGTCTATTTCTGGAGTTTAAATTTTAATCCATTGGGCAATCTGTTTATATACTGGCACCACATAGTTCTAATTATAGAGGCTTTGTAATGTATAGAATTTAAAATCTGGTAAGGCTAGTCCCTCTTCTCAGCTTTTCATTATTTTCCTAGATGTTTTTGCATGTTTATTTTTTCATGTGAACTTTAATGTCAATTTGTGTAGCTCCATAAAAAAGTATTTTTACGGAGATTTTTGATGATATTGAGATGTACTAAGCAAGAACAAGGGATTTAAGTCTGTGTCTTTCAGGAATTATAGCTTTGTTTATAGAAGTGTTTTGAATATTGCTTGTTTATTCCTACATAGTTTACCATTTTCATGGCTTTTGAAAATAGGGTTTTATCATCCATTATTTCTTCTAATGAGTTGTATTTGTGGGTATGAAGGCTATTTTTGCATGTTAATTTTTATATCCTGCATCTTGCTCAGTTTTTTTATTGGGTTGGTTTTATTATTGATTCTCTTCGTTTTCCAGGCATATTCTCACAGCATCAGCAAATAGAGGTAGTTTGCTTCTTTTCTACTTCTTCTGCCTTTAATTGTGTTCTGTATTCCAATTGCATGGGCTGATCCTTCAACAGAATGTTAAATAACTGTGTTAATGGGTGGCTTGGCTTTGCTCCTGACTTTTGTGGGAATGCCTCTGGTGCTTCCTTATTGGGTAAGGTGCTGGCTTTAGCCCTGAGGTATGATATTTGAATTTTTAGATGAGTAATCTTTGGGCAATTTGATTTGAGGAATGGGAGGCAGATGGTCTCACCCTAAGCTCTAGATAGAAGATGGGAAATGAAATCTGTCAGGTAGTGGGGAGGAGGTGGGTTTCCTTTGCTCTTTCTCTTCCACCAACATCTCTCTCCTTGCCCTTCAAACACATATTGCTTTTCTGAGGACTCATAAACTCATTTTGGAGCGGGGGGAGCATGTCGTATTCTCCCACTCAGATGACACCCCCCTCCCCAGGATTAGGGGACAGGCAGCTCTCTTCTAAGAGAGCCCTGGAGTTACCTCCTGGTCTTCAGCACTTTTCACCTATTTCTGGAATCCCTCCCCCCACCCCCACCCCAGGATGCCCCATTCCTTTGTGATGATGGCTGCTTTTCTGTCTCCTCAGGTGCATGGCTACTCCCTAATCCCAAAGCCCAGAGGACACCTCCCTAAAGCTGTGGGGAGTGAGCCCGGCAAGGGAGGGCAGCTTGGAGCCCCCGTTGTGCCTCCCCGGCGGGGGCCAGGATGCTGAAGAAGCAGTCTGCAGGGCTTGTGCTGTGGGGCGCCATCCTCTTTGTGGCCTGGAATGTCCTGCTGCTCCTGTTCTTCTGGTCGCGCCCTGCCCCTGGCCGGCTGCCCTCAGACAGCGCTCTGGATGACGACCCTGCCGGGCTCACTCGTGAGGTGATCCGCTTGGCCCAGGACGCCGAGGTGGAGCTGGAGCGGCAGCGGGGGCTCTTGGAGCAGATCAAGGAGCACCATGCGAGGTGGAGCCAGGGGCGGAGGGTGCCCACTGCGGTCCCGCCTGTGCCGCCACGTGGGCCTGCGACCCCGCCGCCAGCTGTGATCCCCATCCTGGTCATCGCCTGTGACCGCAGCACTGTCCGGCGCTGCCTGGACAAGCTGCTGCATTATCGGCCCTCGGCTGAGCGCTTCCCTATCATCGTCAGCCAGGACTGCGGGCATGAGGAGACAGCTCAGGTCATCGCCTCCTATGGCAGCGCCATTACGCACATCCGACAGCCCGACCTGAGCACCATCGCGGTGCCGCCCGACCACCGCAAGTTCCAGGGTTACTACAAGATCGCGCGTCATTACCGCTGGGCGCTGGGTCAGGTCTTCCACAGGTTCAAGTTCCCCGCGGCCGTCGTGGTAGAGGACGACTTGGAGGTGGCCCCGGACTTCTTCGAGTACTTCCAGGCCACGTACCCGCTGCTGAGGGCAGACCCCTCCCTCTGGTGTGTGTCTGCCTGGAATGACAACGGCAAGGAGCAGATGGTGGACTCAAGCAAGCCTGAGCTGCTCTACCGCACTGACTTTTTCCCCGGCCTGGGCTGGCTGCTGTTGGCCGAGCTGTGGGCCGAGCTGGAGCCCAAGTGGCCCAAGGCCTTCTGGGACGACTGGATGCGGCGGCCTGAGCAGAGGCAGGGCCGGGCCTGCCTGCGGCCCGAGATCTCCAGAACGATGACCTTTGGCCGCAAGGGGGTGAGCCACGGGCAGTTCTTTGACCAGCATCTCAAGTTCATCAAGTTGAACCAGCACTTCGTTCCCTTCACCCAGCTGGACCTGTCGTACCTGCGGCGGGAAGTCTATGACAGGGACTTCCTTGCCCGCGTCTACGGCGCCCCCCTGCTGCAGGTGGAGAAAGTGAGGACCAGTGAGCGGAACGACCTGGGGGAGGTGCGGGTGCAATACACGAGCAGGGACAGCTTCAAAGCCTTTGCCAAGGCCCTGGGAGTCATGGACGACCTCAAGTCGGGGGTCCCCAGGGCTGGCTATAGGGGAGTCGTCAGCTTCCTGTTCCGAGGCCGCCGCGTGCACCTGGCGCCCCCGCAGACCTGGGATGGCTATGATCCTAGCTGGAATTAGCTGGCGCCTGCCTGCCCCTCCTGGGCTCCTTATTTGCCATGTCACGGGCTGAGATGGACGGCAGGTCCTGGGCTGCTTCATCCTCTCTGTTTCTTGGGTCCATTTATCTTTTGTTGTTTTCCTGTTTTGAGTGGTATTCGAGTGCAAGGTGAAGATTATTCTCCTATTCTCAAGGGAGGGTCAAATCAGGTGAACCTTTCTGGGATATGTTGGGGGGTATTAAGCAGGAAACCACTGTGTGGTAGGGAGAGGCTTGGGCTTGTTGGAGCCATGAACTTCCATGTGCCAGGCTTTCTCCTAGGGCATCTGCGGAGGGGTTGACAACTTCTGTTCGCTTGGCCAGGCCTCTTTTCCCTGTCCCGGCTCTTCCAGCCAGGGTATGAGCCCTTTTCCTGTACCTGTCCTACTTCCCTGCCTTCCCCCAATTGGAAGGAAAGTGGGCTATGTGAGAAAGGGACGTATTTGTGGCCAAAATGAGACTAACCAAAGGGGTTTTGTCATTAGGGTCTGGGTGGAGCTGTTAGGTTGTCAGGGTTCATGCCTCCCGCCCGTTTCTTCTTTTCCCTCTGTCCTTATCCCTGACCTCCCCACAGTTCTCTCCCTGCAGCCTAGCAATTCATGACTCTAAGATGAAAAGTTGAAGGGGAAAAGCAGGACCTCTCCTCAGCTCATCCCTGGCAATGGGGGGAAAGTTGGGGGCAGGGAAGCCTCAGTGTGCTGGGCACCCCTCCCTTTTCCTGCCTCAAAGAAACCGACTCTGCCCTGATCCTGTTTTCTAAAAACTGACCCCTTCTCTGTCACTCTAGGAGGGCTCTGTGCTGGCTTGGTGGAAGAGAGATTAATTAGCTCCTTGTGCCCCGTTTCACTTGGGGTTTGGTGCACAGGCTCCGCCCTGAGGCCTTGGCTTCTGGAGGCCCTCTCAGCGTGAGCTAGAGCAGCCAGGACAGCGTGGCCGGCCTGCCTCTGCTCTCCCCCGAACATCCCGTGGCTGCTCAGTTTAGGATGCAGGTGGCAGGTTGGAGAGCAATATGTGTGTTTTTGTTTCTTGCCCGACCTTAGTTCATGGAAGAAAGTTGAAGCTACAGAATTATTTTCAAAAATAAAAGGCTGAATTAATTGTCTGAAAAACTGTGTGTGTGTGTATGTGACCTGGAAGGGAAGGAAGGGGTAGAAAAAGAAGAAGGGTGGAGGAAGAAAGGGAAAGAGGAGAGAGGACTAACGGAAGGGGTGGACAGGCAGGAGGAAGTAGATCAGTTGAAGGAAGAAAAGCAGATGACCAGAAGAGGAGAGTGGGGAGAGGCCTGGTGTCAAGTAAAGGCCAGGCTTGAAGGTGGACAGGGTCCAAGACGACACTCCCCTACCGCCCGTCTCTGGAGGTGGGCTGTGGGGCCTCAGCGGGGTTGGGTTTGCAGAGCCAGAGGACAGGGTCAGTCTCTCAGAGTGGGTGCGGTATGAGGCGCCCTCTGCTGGCACAGGCAGCATTTCTGGGCCTCCTCCAGGACCTACTCCTAAGCTCCAGGATGCAGAGCTCATACCCCAGTAAGCTCTGGCAGTACCACTTAAGTGCCCTGGCCATGTCCTCAGTGAGAAAGCCTTTTACACTGCCACTCAGAAGGCAAACTGACAAACATTCCCTGAAACTATTTACCCATATCATGTGTAATGTATTCTGAGAGTATCTATTTGCCACCATTTTTTTTTTTAAATGCTGCTTGAGACCTACCAACTTGATTTAATTAGTGCGTTTGAAAACCCCAGACTAGGTGACTGTTGACAGAAACCATTCCAGAGCTTCACACCAGATGGGTCAGCTGTCGAGGAGGCTTGGGATCACCTGGTCACTGAGGGAACAGCTCCGGCCTTCGGGGCCCAAGAGTTCCAAGAGTGTGCTAAGGGAACCAGCCTCAGACATTCATTGTAACCTTAGTTTTCTGTAGAGCTAGTTTTGTCTTCCCACATGCTCCTAAGTGGATTATTTAACCCTGTTTTGGGTTAGGGACGTGGTCATTATCCGTGATTTGTGGATAGGGAAAGGGGCCAGTGAGGCGCTGGGTCCCGCCTGACACAATCAGGCCAGCAGTACTTCAGCTGCCAAGTTCCATTTTCTTAGCGGATCTCTATATAACACCTGCTTACCAAGTGCATTGTTCTGGGTGATCCACGATCAATATTAACTCATTTAATCCTCAAAGCAATTGGGGGTAGTAAGTTTTGCTCCTGTTTTACAGGTGAGGACACTGACATGGAGGTTCCCTTACCCAAGGTCACACACCTGGTTGTGTTGGAGCAGCGATTTGAATGGAACCCATGCTGTTAACCACTACCTTATGCTGGACTGACTGTTCCTTTCTATCTTTTACTTCCTCATACTCTGGTCTTCTCTCCCTCAGGTCCCAGTTCCAGGGTGGGGCTGGACTTCCAGGCCAAGTCTGCCAGGGGTGGTGGGTGGGGTNGTGTCTTATACATGGGGAAATACGGTATATGATATTTTTGTTCTGAACCATTTGAGAAGTTGCATCTATCATGGCTCTCTATCCCTAATTATTTCAATACGTAACCACAGTATGGCTCTCAATCGGTCAACAATGATACTTTAAACTACTATCTATATTCTGATTTTGTCATTTGACCCACTGTCTTTTTATAAAACAGTTGTATTGAGGTATAATTTACATATAGTAGTAAACCGCACATATTTAAAATGTACAATGTGATAAGTTTGTACATATGTATACACCCATAAGACTATGGCCACATCCATCCCTCAGTTTTTCCTTGTGTCTCTTTGCTATACCTCCCCCACTGTCCTCAGTGCCCCCACCCCAGACAACCACTCATCTTCCTGCCACTATAGATGACTTTGTATTTTCTGGAGATTTACATAAGTGGAATTATAGTGTATGCACTTTCTTTTGGTCTTTTGCATCTTGGATAATTACTTGAGATTCATCCATGTGTTGTGATTATCAGTAGTTTCTTCCTTTTTATTACTGAATATTATTATTCCATTCTATGGATAAACCACAATTTGTTTATCCGTATTCGCTTGTTGATGGACCTTTGGGTTGTTTCCAGTTTTGACTATTATGAATAAAGCTGCTATAAACATTCCATATAGGTTTTTGTGGGGCATATGTGTTATTTCTCTTGGGTATGTATCTGCGAGTGGAATTGCTGGGTCATATAGTAACTCTCTGTTTAGCATTTTGACAAAAATGTCAAACTGCTATAAAGGGACATTAGTTCCATACCTCACACCATATACAAAAATTAACTCATCAAAATTATCATCATCAAAATTATGAATTTCTGTTCTTCAGTTGACATTGTTAAGAGAATGGAAGGACAAGTTTTTGCATTTTTGTCAGCCTGATGGGTGAGAAATGTTATCAGTATAGTTTTAATTTACATTTTTCTTACTATGAGTAAAATGGAATATCTTTTCATATGTCTGTTTTAGTCTCTTTTTTTGTGAATTGCCTTTGTCTTTAGAGAAGGATTTTTGGCCTTTTACCCCTTCAGTTTTTAAAAAGTTCTTTGTCTACTAGGGTATTGGCTCTTTGTGATGTACATATATGTTGCAAATATTCTTTCCCAGTTTCATTTGTCTTTTTACCTGGCTTATGGTGTTTTTAGCCATGCAAAATTACTTTATTTATTATTGCATCAGGATTTTGAATTACACTTTGAAAGCCTTTTCGTATACC